TTCCGCTCTTAGCAGACGAAGTGTAATGCATGCAACCTCCGATCCACTGCACCCATGCTGACGTTGGAATTATTCTCTTCAACGGCTTGGGCTTCTGACGTCATAAAAAGGCTAACACACGAAACTGTAAGAGCATTTATTTGATACTTTTTAGTACATTTTTGGAAAATTGTGTTCTATTTTGTACTTTTTAGTCAAAGTGTTGAAAGTTTCAGCTCAATTGGACATCATGAAGTGGGTTAAATTATGTTGCAATATATGACCCGCAGAGATCCCTCAGGGTCAGTGGAGGTCACGGGTGACCTACTGATCATGAAGGTTTGTATTGTCATTGGGGGTAGGTGAGTGTACACAGAGTTTCAGGTGAATTGGACACCAGAAAGCGTGTTTTAATTAAGTTGCAAGATTTGAACAGGAAGTATTTAATCAAGGGTTTAATCACACTACACGGTGTATGGAGGTTCCAACACCAAATGGTGCACAGGCACAGGGGTTCTCAAGCCACATGGTGTATCGGGATTCTAAATCCATACAGTGTATCGGGGTTCTAATACCACACGGTATATAAGAGCTCTCAAACCAAAAGGTTATAAGGCTCTAAAACCACACGGTGTATCGGGATACTAAATCCATACAGTGTGTCGGGGTTCTCATACCACACGATATATAAGGGCTCTCACACCAAAAGATTATTAGGGTTCTCAAACCACACGGTGTATCGTGATTCTCTCGATGAGCACTGTTTCTTTCAGTTTCAGATTTTGGGGGGCAGTGCCAGTGGGCAGTTGCCAGAGGCGTGGCTAAGGGGTGGCAGATTGGACATGCGTCCTGGGGTGCCAGACTAGCGGGCGTACCAAAATTGGCTTTGATACTATTTAATGGTTGAAAATAATTAGATTCAGTGTTAAAGGGGAGGGCGTAAAAAAAATGAATAATCTCCCCTGACGCCAAACCCTCACGATACGCCACTTTCAATAGCATAGAAAAGGAGAGGATGAGGTTGTTCTCCCACGTGACACTTTTTCTTCATATGGAGGTGAGGAATTTTCGGACAACTGCTGAGTTTCTATCGTGAAAGGGGAAGCAACAAAAATATTTTGCTGCCCATGATGGGGTTTTGCCTCTTCGTGGCGTGCCAGACTGGTAGGGAGGCTTGTTCTTCCGAAGCAAAAACCCGGCTACTTGCATGACTCCATGCAATGGGAGTAACGCAATTACATGATTACTTGTTGCCGTTAATGTATATGAGGTCTGGGTGGCGGTCTAAAACCCATTCCGATGATTTTAGCTACGTGGCCCTGAGCAAGCCGCTCCTAGGCGACCGTTTCGTCCCAGCTTACCTCCAGACCGAAAGACTCCCAGGACGGTTGGGGTTGGTAACGCAACACCTTTCTCCCGGAGTGGAAGCAAAGCCGTTCTGACCCACGGAGAGTGGACCGCGAACGCTTTAAACGCATCGTTTTCAGTCGACCGCACGTCTCCCGGGCCGTGGGGGGGGGAAGGTTCCCGGCGTGCTTCCCCAAGGTCTGACGGCGGGGAGACCCGGCATCTGGCCCGTGTGGAGGAGTGCCGGGTGGGGGGTATTAAGAGGTCACACTTGACGACACACCAACGCCATCTCCAATGTGACGTCAGGACTGTGAGGCATTCCGAGACAGCAGCGGAGTAAAACAAGGTTTTGTACTGGCACCAACACTCTTCTCCATTTTCTTCTTGATGCTCCTTCAATTTGCCATCAGGGACTGTGCAGACGGAGTTTAAATCCATACCAGATCTGATGTTAGGCTGTTCAATATCGCCCGCCTTCGTGCTAAGACCAAGGTAAAAAAAAAAGATACTAATTCGTGAACTGTTGTTCGCTGACAATGTCGCCTTAGCATCGCACACAGAAGAAGGTCTTCAGGGGTTAGTTAATAGTCTATCACACGCTTGTAAAGATTTTGGACTGTCAATTAGTCTATCGAAAACAAGATGCAAGAAGCACCGTCCCCTCCAATCACCTATTGAGGGTCTTAATCAGTCGGTTGTTGAGCATTCACATAACTTGGATCCAATATTTCTAGTTCTCTCTCCGTTGACAAAGAGGTGAACATCAGGATCGCAAAAGCAGCTACAGCTATGGCTAAACTTAATAAGCGGATGTGGAATAGTTTTTAACTAACTAAGTCTATCAGGCATGTGTGCTTAGCACTCTCCTATATGGCAGTAAAGTGTGTACCACGTATGTCAGTCATGAGCGGAAACTCAACAGCTTCCATCAATTTTACTCCATCAATTCGATGGCTGGAAAGTTGCTTAATAGAGAGGTCTTGGAACGTGCAACAAGGTGCCTAACACAGAGGTCTTGGAACGTGCAACAAGGTGCCTAACACAGAGGTCTTGGAACGTGCAACAAGGTGCCTAACACAGAGGTCTTGGAACGTGCAAACCTAATAAATATGTAGTATATTCTCCGCTCTTAGCAAGAGGCGCCTTCGCTGGTTAGGCCATGTAAGGAGAATGGAGGGATTCCATATTCCAAAGAAGCTGCTGTATGGAGAGTTGGCAGAAGGGAAAAAACTTACTAGACGGCCACGTCTGAGATTTATTTGACCTTTGCAAAAGGAGCATGAGTAACGCCAAAATAAAAATCAACGAATGGGAGATCTTTGCTGAGCAAGGTTCTAGCTGGCGAACAGCAGTGTATGAATGAGTCACAAGGTTCTAGCTGGCGAACAGCAGTGTATGAATGAGTCACAAGGTTCTAGCTGGCGAACAGCAGTGTATGAATGAGTCACAAGGTTCTAGCTGGCGAACAGCAGTGTATGAATGAGCAAGGTTCTAGCTGGCGAATAGCAGTGTATGAATGAGCAAGGTTCTAGCTGGCGAACAGCAGTGTATGAATGAGCAAGGTTCTAGCTGGCGAACAGCAGTGTATGAACGAGTCAAAAAGGCGAAACGAAGCCCTTGCAACAAAAAGAACAATATGGAAGGCCAAATCTAACCAGGAGACAATATTGTCCTGCGAGAAATGTAGCCGAAATTGTCATTCCAGGGTTGGCCTAGTGAGCCATTCGTTGAAGTGTACGTAGTTACTCCATCGTCTCGCGAAGATGGAAGGATGCCATATACATATTTGCAGAGGTTATTTTAAAAACCGTAACACCAACACTTAAAACTATCTTTAAATCTTTGAAAACACATTATCTTAACAAATTCATATCTACAC